TACTATAATTAACTCTCTCTTTGCCTCTGAGACTGATTAATCCCATTAATTCAATTGTAAATTCTAAGATAAGGTAAAATTAATAGTAATAAAGTTGAACGAAAGGATGATGTATGAAACTCATGTAAAATCCAACTTGAGCCGTCATTTCACGTCTAAGTTATAATAGTCACCCATTTAACTAACCGCGATTGATGACGATAACTACTCACAATTTTAAGGTACTATCAGCGGAACATCAGCCTACCAAATCTACATATACTGGTTATTCTTAGTAGCCGTATTTAAAACCAGTTCAAATTGTTCCCTTAAATGTGTCGTTGATGATAGCACGTTTCATCGATGATGTCGAGTTTTGATGAAAAGTGCTAAAGGACATTGGGACCTTAAGTATGGACAAATGACCCACTACTGCAAACATTAATGAATTATGCCTCATTTTAAAACCTCAGCCGCCTAGTTTTAGCTGGTAAAGGCGCATTTTTGTGAGGGATGGGAATATTAAGATATTTAATAATATTGGTGCCGGCAGAGTAGAATACCCTTTCTTACCACCTCCTTTCTTCCCGTGGGGGTCGTAAGAGGCGACCGAGGGATAAACCCGACCCAAACAGCCAGGGCCTACCGTATGGTGGCGGTTAATCCACCACAAAATCATTCCCAAGTAGGGTTGACGTCTGGTAGGCGGCCGGTCGTAAAATTCAGCCAAATCTTTTGTAACACGATTTTGTGTTCAACGAAACGTGTTGTGCCGACAGGTCGCTCTCGCGTTCAGAAGTTTTTGTTTACCGTTCCCGCTTACCGTCGGTAGTCACGTGGGGCTCTGTCGAGCACAAGTAATCCCGGCCAGCGGGTCTCACCGTGGGGGTACTCCAGAGTCTTGCGCCCCGAGGGTAGGCTACGCTTAACCCTGATTATTAGGTTTCTTAACTGCTTCGAAACTGCCCTTCAAGGGCCACCAGCACCCCGCAAATCGGTCGCGAATGTTTGTCCGCACGAACCCGCAAGCTGCCTTGCAGCGCGTTATGGACGAACTCGCGGCTTCGTGCCATCCCTCGCCGCCGTCCACGCTGGGATCAATAGAACCCCTGCTTGTCTCTTCGCCACCTACGGCCGCCGCAGCAGCGATAACTGCTGCATTCGCCGTCGCACCCCCACTACCGCCGCTACCTACTTCTCCCTCGCCGTCTCCGCTGTCCCAGCGTGAGCCGAGGAACAAAAAGCAAGGAGAGTGCTACAGCCATACAGGTGGTAGCGCAGACCGCGCAGTGCGCCGAGCGCCAAGAAGCGCACACATGGATCAACCTCACCGACTTCGCCGAGGACAGTTTCGGCTACGAGGGTCACGCCGCCGCTGTCCATGCACATGCTGAACAGCTCGGGTACTGGAGACAGCCCAGCGACGACATCACAAATATCATGTGCGTCCACGCTAACGACGCCAAAGCCTGCGCCCAGCAAGCCCAGGAAGACGCCACCACCTACACCCAAGACATCCATGAAGGTGACTGGGTGCATAAAGAAGCCGCCACTTTTAGTGGTCGACCTGCTACCGAACTGGAGCCACCACTTCGCCGAGCTAAAGAAGGAGCTCGGTCATGCGCCAAACATGCGCATGACCGAGCTGACCACTCTGGGCTACGAGGTAGATTACATGCGCCCCATCAAGGCTCGCGGCGCGGGAACGTCTAGAGTTAATCTACTTCGCCCAGCTTATCCGCATGCCAAACCTCACCCCTGCAGATTGCCAGCCTGGGATTGCAGAAGACCCCGAGAAAAACCGGCTGCATGTGCCAACTGTGGCGGATCGCACCCAGCAACTTAGATTGCCCCGTAGTGCGCCATGAAGTATGGAACAAGAGAGGGGGGCACAGCGCCTCTTACGAAGCCCGTCAAACTGAAGAAGACGGAGGCGGCAAGGGGAAACCAACGTAGCTGGCTCCCTTATGGCAGCTGCGAACGGCCCCTTCGAAACTTCGATGACAAAGAAGCGGAAGCCGAGGAGGCGTAGGAGGCGAGCACCGCCCCCGCCCCCCCAGGACGTGAAAGCACCGGGCCAGCCACGTCAAGAGCCACCCACGGGTCCGTTGGATGTGGTCGGCTCCCCTCCCCTAGGGTACACCTCAGGGGGAGAAGCCGAAACACCAACCGGCCACAAGACAAGAGAGCGCACGATAAGCCGTCTTAAAAGAGGACAGAAAGGTCCTGATCACGAGGGCGGACGCGACTTTTATCGTCGTAAAAAGCCTTCAGCGACTCGAGCCATACGGCGGGGTCATGGCTGCCAGGTATGCACGGAGGCTCTGGGACCCAGATAGTTGTGCTGACGAGCACAGTCTGACGTGGACATCACCTGTCCACATCCATTTAGTGTCATAGCTGATTTATATTTAAAAAGTATAGTACAAAGAGGTTTTTATTGAAAGTAGCGTTGTATACCATGAAAATCTTAAAATACAAAAATATATAATTATTTAGACTTTCCCATGGAATTTTAGAAAAAGAACAACTTATTTAGGAAATACCTAGTTAAATCTAATAATTAAGGTATGTTTCATCAATGTTTGCTAGGTGGATCAGAAGGGTCCCAATATCATTTCTATTAAATTTTTTGGGCTACATTTCTATGAAAGACGTTCCTTTATCTATAGGTAATTTCTTGTATGAAATAAGCACGGCGCTTCAACTACAGTTGCGTTTTCCAACTTCGTCCACGTCCCTGTCTGTGGAGTAGTATTGCGTCTCGACGATTGGATATCCCAACGCGGACGAAACTTTCCCGCCTTTCACATCGGGAAATCGGGTCAAATTGAGAGTTGGTAGAACGGGAACGGTAATAGTTTCCATCATTGAGTCAACGCATTCAAATTCAATGGAGTAGCTGCGACTGCGACTTCGAGAAGATTCCGACGGGAACTTTTCAAAGTAAATCGTCGAACGTTTTCAAGTCTTTTGAATTGTAGGTACGTACTTTTAGCAGCTCTTCGAGTTTGCCTTTTCAGAAATCAGCTCTCATGGTGGATTCTCAGTGGCTGTATCGTGCGTTACCGTAACGATACGAATTTCCAGCTTATTCCAAAAAAAAATACGGTTTACGTCGAATAGTTTTACAAACGCATCTTTTGACGCAGCGTTTTCCGATACGCAGCGCTAGCGGATGTCTCTGTCATACCGTTTGACTTAAACGTATTTGAATGAAAATAAGGAGGAAATCCGTATTTTAAACTAGCGCACCAACAGATGTTACGTGTGTTTTCCGCCTAAAAACTAGTACACTTTGAGCTATTAAATGTGCAACTTGAGTTGCTGCTGTCATTACGGACTCCAAACCTACTCACAGAAATTGCAAGTTTTTTCAAAGATCTTTTATTTACTAGACAGTTTAATGAACTGAACACAGTTTTTTCCAACAAGTTTTTTACTTGACTCTCGTAGTACAGTAGATAGTCGATTTGATTCTTTTCTATAACTCCTTCTTACATTTGCTCATCTGGCAATGATCCAAAGAAGTGGCAAAGATTTTTGGAAACCTTTGCAATACGAAATTTTCCGGCGCAGGCAGGATTTGAACCTTCGACTTAGGTTCAGTAATTGCCATCGCCTCTACCAACCGAAGACCCTTGACGGGGCTCCATAGGGTAAAGTACGGATAGATGCGCACCTTTTGGAAAATGCTTTATAACTCAACAATTAAGAACTTATTTACAAAATTATCTTTACAGATTAAAGGATTGATCTTTAATCTTTTATTAAAGCCCTAATTCATGAATTTAATTTTTATTGTTTTGTTGTAAATCCAGTTTTATTTGACCTCTTGAAAAAGGGATAGTCGCGCACCCGCACGGATAGTTGCGCAGCTCTAAAAAATCATGGAGGGATACTTGCGCTTTGAAGATTACCTAGGTGATTTGCTATGAAATTTGTACTTTATTTAAATCAAATCAATTTGGAATTAATTTGATTAAATACTTATTTAAAAAATCGAATCGGCCTCTGAACCTTAATATTACTACTATTTCTAAAGTTATTGAGTGCTAAGTCCTTATTTCAGTAAAAAAATTGTTTCAACGCGTAGGTAGCATAAAAATGTATCTTGAACAACGTTTATATCTAGACTGTAATTTAGAAGCATTTTATCTATCTGCAACATACTAAAATAAACAAAAATATCAATCTGCGCAACTATCCCACAAAGCGCAACTATCCGTCCAAAAAACCTGCGCAAATATCCTTTTTGGTACGGATAGTTGCGCATTTAATTAAAACAATAATAATTTGATATTTTCGAATAATTAATAAATGGGCACATACTTTATAAAGTAGTGCATATGAGGAAATAAAAATGTGAGCCATTCTACAATCGTGAGAAAAGATACCCGGAAAACAAAATGTGCTAAAATAATTTCGACGCCCGGTTTGACCACGCTACCGAAGATTTTTGCTTAAACTGGCGTAAATTGTTCAATTACTCCAATAATTAACGTGGTACTTGGGCTTTCAGGAGGAAGACTACTATGTTTTAATAAGCAATAGTGCTGAAATTCACTAGAACATAGTGTTTTCGAAACCTGCGCAACTATCCCAACGGCGCATCTATCCGTACTTTACCCTATACCGGGACAGTTATTGCAACTATTCCCAGCGACATATTGTAACAATTCAATGTCCTCATTCCATAACTTACGGACTGACCTAATTAGGTATGAACAGAATTTGGGAAAACGATCATTGTTTGCCTATAACCGGAACTAATCATGTGGGGAGCCACAGCAATGTAATCTATTCGTGAAATTTAGATTTAGTTCAAAACGTTAAATTCGATTAGAACAACAACATTCCGACACAACTAATTTTAAGCATCCTCTTCAATTTTTGTTTAAGAAAAGTTTCTTTAACTACAAATATTTCAATCTTTTGAGGCTCGAATACTTTCTACAGATGTCGCTAGATCGTCGCTTGGAGACGAGCATCTAGAGATTGATTGGCAGGTATCTACCGGTGCATCGATAGTTTAGTGGCAGAGCAGTAAGGCGTTTAACCATGTGGCCCGGGTTCGATCCCCGGTCGATGCATTACAGTACATACAGACAATTTTTTTATTTCTTATTTTCAGTAACAAAGGATTTGCGTTTGTAGTAGGGGTACGTTGATTTATCAAAGGCACGTCTCAAATTTCACACACAGTGGTTGTTAAGGAAGTAAATCAAGCACATAAATAATTTTCCAATGGTAGCTTTTCCAAAACTAGGGATGCGACTCTATGTAGGTAAATAAAAATAAATCGATTTCGCCAAAAGTAACATCGATATTAAAATAATCAAATTTTTCACATATTGTAGTTGATTTTATGCAATGTAAATCATTTAACATAATAATAATACTGAAAGAGGTAAAATAAACATCATACCACCATCTCATCATCATCATCATCATCTTCCTGTCCTCATCCCAATTACTTGGGGTCGGCGCAACATGTATTGTATGAACACAAAATCATGTTGCAATTAAATAGGATTTGGTGTAGGTAATTTTACGACCGGCCGCCTACCTGACGTCAACCCTCTTTGGGAATGCTATCGTAGGTGGTATTACCGCCACTTTACGCCTTTTACGAAACAACCTGAGTATAGAATAAGAGTGGCAGAATTGTAAGCCACTACCACACGGCAATACGCCACCGCCGAAACGAAATATAAATATTGATCTAAAATAAAGAGATGCGTATTTTAATGGAGGTTACGCAATTCCTTAAATGATTCGTTGGTACTCGGAAATATGAAAAATTTATTTTAAATTAGTCAATTTTCTTCCTAACTTTTTTTGAAACATCGTTAAATATTAATTATCAATTATCTTTTCACATCCTTATGCAAAACTAACCATAACATAACCGAAATTTCGTCTCAAATTTTGTTGGGCGGGAAATGAACACAAATTTAGCTAAATTGATAGACGCGTGTGGTGCGCGCCGATTAATTGAGTTATATCGGCTGGGATTCGAGTTTCGGTGATTTGTAGTTCGAACCTTGTGCTACAATATTTGATTTCCACTTTGAAAAATATTTGTTTTTATAGGTACTTTTATTTATTCACTCAAATTGTACACGGTTGTTATCAAAGCTTTGATAAACTAATTGACACACACAGCGGTAAAAACATGAACCTTTAAAAAATATTCGAGCAGTTTTCATATTACTACATTAATAGTCATCGTTGTCTGCATCGTCACTTAACATCAGGTGAGATTGCGGACAAATGCTTACCCATTATTTATAAAAAAATATAAAAATTAACAAAATTGAAATTTGACAGCGGGGAAGGAAAATGTTTTAAGTCATATACCAATCAAAACTCCAACGTTTCGATTCCAAGTAAAGTATTTTAAAAGATTTTAGATTTTGAGAGATGACTGATGAGATAAAAGACATGAAAAGAAAGGAAAGTTATTGAGATACCGTCTTAACACTACCTACTACTATTTGTGGCTAGATTCATGAAGTCGTAAAGTCGCTCCCAATCTTTTCTGATCCAGTCATAATTTCTAATATCCTGCGTCAGCTTTTCTGTGATACGCTTGGAGTATATACGTATAAGCAACCTATAGAGCGCACCTAATAAGTTAGAACGGGTAGCAGTAGTAAGAACACAACCTCTCTGTCCATCAGTAGCAAAATGCTAGTGATAACACTCTTGAACCTCTATTAATTCTAACACATTTGACGTAGGTAGGTATCTATGGAACAAGTGCTTACGTTTGTCAGTACGGCGCGGGGCGATACGCGCACTTTATAGCTTGTTTATATACAACGTGTTACAAAACAACCAATAAAGCTCCCATACAAATTGAGTTTATTTTGTATCTCTCAATTTGTATGGAAGGCCCAATTTTTTTTCGTATTTCGACCCATGTTCCATGGCGAAAGTTGTTCAGTTTTGAAAAGTACCTTGACCTCCTTTCAGCTCTATAGGTTATTTTGTAACACCCAGTATACACTAAGATACGCTTGGTGATACAAGCCTTAATCCCTGGGTACCGTCCAAGTAATCTATTACAGAATAATCAAGCTTTCCGCGGGCGTACATATTTTTTACGGCGACATCGTGTTGTCACATAAACTACCCAAGCTGTTACACGTCGTAAAATTATGTCGCAACTTAATAACAGGTTTATGACCTTACGATCGACCTGTGAAGTAAAGCGGGTGAGAAAATTACAAGGTTGAGTGCAAAACCCTACTTTTGGAAAGTGTGTGATGTATGAAAGGAAAATATTGAAAAAGCACTTAGGTATTGATTGCATTAGTAGAAATAGTTCGTTGAATATGACTTTCTTAGGAAGTGAGCGTAATTTCAGTTGACTTTTGGACAGCTTTAATTTCTATTAACTGAAATAAAACAAGGGATCGGGCTAGGGAGTACCTACAGAAAACGTGGCGAGTTTAGAACGTGTATCTTTGAGTCAAAGGCCCGTATTTATAAATTGCTCTCAGCTATGAGATAAACCTTGATAGCGTTTTTGTGATGCCGTTTGTATTGCTGATTTTGACAAAAAAATTATCTCAGAGTTGAGAGCAATTTTTACATTTAAATTAAGCAATAAGGGCCTGAATATATGTAACTTGAATATAACTGCACCTATAAATATGACGATGCCGAAATCTAAGATGTCGGTCATATCTAGCTGTCATAACGAATCAAATAAGTACTTCATAGAAAAATCTGACAGCAAAATCTAACATACCGAATCAAACAAAATCACGAAGCAACCGCCGATAATACGATTACGGAACATCGGCCGTTCAATTGATGGCCGGCCAATTAAAGCCCCTCAGACTGTCTGCTTCCATTCCCCTCTCCCCCTTCAGCTGCTCTGAGTGACAGGTTTGTACCGCGAATTAAGACAAAAAACGATACCATTTTTGTTCAATGTTATTTTAGTTTTATCTGGCGTGTCTAACGTTTAAAGGGTCAACCTGTTCTGGCTATTCTTAATGATATGGGAATCCAGTATGGGTTATTATTGCTGACTGACAAATAAAGCCCCTCAAACTGTCTGGTTCAACGAATTATAGATGGACTGGTTTCATTTCCCTCTACCCCTTCAGCTGATTTGAGCGACAGGTTTGTGACCTCGAATTAATATTAAAAAATATTGGATACATTTTGTACTGCTATGTTGGTAGTTCAGTCAATCCAAATACAGATTTTGATTTTTTTTGCCCTGACAAATTTTTCTTTGAAGTGGAAAGTTTTATTTCAGAAATAACTCACTGTGCTATCAGTAGTCAGTACCTAGTGTCCCACTTGAAATGAAGAAGTAGCACTAAGACACAATAAAACATCATCAAACACAAGTTACTATTTAAAGGAACGATAGGAACGAAATATAAAATATGGACGGAGATTCTTTGTTAGCATAATCGAAATATAATCAGCACCTTGTTATTTTTGGATATGGATTAAATTATAAGGTTCGGATTTAAGTACTTACTGTTCGTCTCCGAATTTTCGACTGTTTGAATATTACATCAAAGATAAACCTGCCTTATTTTATTATATCAAAGACTTTTCGTTAAAATATCATGTTTCAATTTTTCACAAATCGTTCTCCGCCCGTTCATAGCTCCTGTCTTTATCCTTAGAGTGGACAAAGTGAACAAAATGGATTGAAGTTGTAGAACAATAGTAATCGGTTTTTATACGTGCTGATTTATCGCAACAGGAGGGTATAGCTGGTAATTCCTGTGGCTTCACTGCGGTGCTATCAGTAGCAAAGTGGAAATTTCGATTGTATGAAGTATGAAAATTGGACGAATTTTTGTTGTCATAAATCATCACTTCGTTATATTTTTTGTTTACAGCCTACATGGCTTTAGTTTAAGTTAGGTTCAATTAAAATGTAGATCCACTTTATAATGAGTATTCCGTTTAATAAAAAGTTTAAATTTTTCTAATATTCATCTCAAGACCACATGACGGTTCATCAGGGCGTTGAACAACTTGGTGTCCTATTTGAAAAAGAAAAAGAAAAAGCTCCTGTCTTTATCCTAGTGTGGACCAAATGGATTGAAGTTGTTGAACAAAAGTAATTCAGTTTTTATACGTGCTGATCCATCGCAGTAGGGGGATGTAGCGAGTAATTCCTGTGGCTTCACGTAGACGCTTCTTTTACTTCAATTCCCTTTTCTATTACACATTAGCCAAGTTTCTTAGTGGAAGTGAATTATTTCCTATAAAGGAGAAAATGTTGTCGGAGAGAAATTCTAACCTGCCCGCTAAGTAAGTCTGGTACAGGTAACTGTTTAGTAAGGCAAGTCCCACACGTAACATTCGTTGTTGCTATTTTAGCGCAGCGCTACCGCATGCATGTGCATATAAATTTTGAATGCCACATACTAAATCCGACGACATAATAGCGCAACTTTAGTTTCTAGACAAAATAGAGGGGTGAATATAAAGTATAGAACGGCAACTATTTCTGTCTTCAAAACTATCAGCTTGCAACTATTAGACAATCATTTATCCGTGCACTGAACTCTCGCGTGGGTTTTTTCTGTTACCTGCAGAGGCGTAGCTTATGCTATTCAGTTCAGATTGAATATACACAGTCGGTACCATGACTTTCTATTTCTGAGAGAAGCAGGTGGTTACTTATAGCTGCAAAACCTTAACCTACTCATTAAAGAGATCTACCTATACTATACACCAGTAACCATACTACACTTCCCACGAGAAAAATCGAGACACTTAGAAAGTTTACGTTTTGTACGAATCACATTTTCTGAGACACATGTTTATTTAGGAATAAATGTCTAATATCTTTCAATAGTGTGTACCTATTGCGAGGTTTCTATATCATAATGCCAATGTTCAAAATTCAACTTTTAATTACATAGGTAGATTTCATAGTTTGTTTAACTATGAAAACGAAAGTGTCTCGATTTTTTTGATGAGAAGTATTTTAAACTGAATAGAAAATCAGAATACATTGATCTCCTAAAAGTATCTTGAATCGCTGCTGATAGTACCTCTGATTTATATTTTCCACTGGTTACAAACAAATGTTATCCAT